TTCAGATGGCGTTCTGCGCGCACCAGCCTTTAACCGAGAGTTCTCAAAACTGGCAGGGATCGCTTGACAGCGGTTGTTACGTATGGAGGGGTGGCGTTGGAGTGGAACGCAATCGAAATGTAGCAGCGGGGGAGGGGAGGATGGACAGCGTAACGTGATGCTCAGATGCGGTTGCAATGAATGTTGATTTGTTTCCAAAATATTTGCAAACCTTAAAACTGAATGCTGTTATTTCCCCTCACGACGAAAAAACACTAGTTTTTTTATTTCGTATGTCAGGCCTGAATTGGGGGGGGGGGGGGGGCAAACGGATGTCGCTTCTTTGAAACGTTACACTTGACACGACACAAATAAGGGAAAAGGCCCAGCGCAGCCAGCGTGTATCCACAGGAGCGGGTTTACAAAAGCACAGTCTAGACGTTTGGTTCACGTAACACAATGTAGCGTAACGAGACGTAAGTTGGAAGTCTTTGCGCAGAGGCAGGTGGAGCCAACGGCACTGCTCCCGGCGCAGCCTGGCTACGCTGGCCACCTTCGCAAGCAGGCCCTATCCAGCACAGCCAGAGGCGGCGGCCTGACCCATGACAGGAGGGCACCACCCAGGAGCTAACACGTCTCTTCCTGGCGGCGAACCTCCGCGCACGTGTCCCCAGGACATGTGATGAGTGCTCGCACGACGCGTGCGGAACGCTCAGGCGTCAGCGCCGTAGTCAACATTTGTTTCAGCACGACCGGTCCCAGTTGGGAGCGGGTGCTGTATGCCACCTTGCGATGACGCAAGGAAAGCCACGTTTTAGGCCTTCGTTATTACAGAAGCCTTTGGTAGCTTTGTTCAACCATGCTATTCCGTAAGGCATCATCAGACCATTGCAAATACAAGAGTACGCACGCACACCATGCATGAGAACGCACCGCTCTTAAGAAATGGGTAGCAAAGTGCAGCTACCAAAAACCTATGAATAGCAGGATATTCATTTATTTTTGCGTTTCGAAGCATGATAGGGAACAGGGCTAATAAAATGTATTTTGTGATTCCCTTCATTGAAAGGAAAATGACTCATCATTCCTCTTGAAAGGGAAGGAAAAAAGTTGCGTGTAAAAACGTTGCATCTCTTGCCTTTGTGAATACTGTGCAACATGCCAGATGCAGGGACAAATGGGCACATGTCCAAATGGACAGACTATAGACTGACTGAAGTGAAATGTCTGTCAATCTATTGTTTTGGTGGGCTTTACGACGCACTCAGCTGCTGAGGCGCCGGATATTGATAAGAGGGTGTGTCAACGGTCACGCCTTTTTAGAACACATGGATGTAGCTGCTGAAAACTTAGTGTGCAACGATGAGAAGGATACGGCAGTGATTTTTTCGGTCGATTAAGAACGCAGTCCGTGCCAGCCGATTAAATGTCGTCTTAAAACGTTGGTTATTAGTGATGATGCTGCCACCTAGCGGGAAAAATAAATCCGGATGACAGCTGTGATAAGGGTAATTTTTCGCGGTGCGCTCGGCCACACATTATTGGGAACACGGAGGGCTTTCTAGTCAGGATAGTTGCTAACAAGCCGCTGCTTTCTATGTATCATATCAGGACCGTAATGCTAACTTTGTAGAATTAGGGGGGGGGGGGGCGTGCCCTCGAACGATACAATATAATGACCCCAACATTACACACTCGCACAATGTTACACCATATCAAGCATGGTTCTTGTGTAATAAACTATGCTCTGCAAGTCTCAAAACATCCTCAATTCGTTAACAGTGGCATCAAGACGCATCGGCCCTCCAGATCCCGTTCTAGAACTGAGCGAGGACCGCACCATCCCGTTTGCCTTGTTGTAAACAAATGGAAGGGGCGGTGAATAGGGTGAGGCTGGGTGCGCTCCTGCGTCCTGCTGCGCTGAATCAGTCGATTTGTGGTGGTGCGAGAAGGAAGCAGCGATCAGTTACGTGGCAACGGATGGCAGAGTCAGTGGTTACCACCAGCATCGGTGGCTAACGGTCAGTTGCTAACAGAGTCAATAAGTGCTTAATATATGCTTAAATAATATGCTTGTTCCGTTTTTATCCCGCAGGCCATACGAGAAGAGAAGTGTGTGCCAAAAACCGCGGCTGTTTTTGCAGGCAGCGAATAGAATGATCGCGGACCTGAGTTAATTGTCGAAGTGGCTTAAACCAGGCTGGAATGTACTTTCACGGTCGGAAGGATCTCGCTTATGTCGGCGAAGGGAAATGTATGCCAGGGAGAGAGCGTGGTTGTGATGACCGAGCTTAGTGGCGAATGCCTTGCACACTTTCCTTGTTCCTTGTTCTACCTCGCAGTCTAGTTAGACCATAAACCATTTCAGTGAACTTCAAGCAGCATCCTGCGAGTACGGCGGAGACACGACTGCTCTTGGGCATGATGGCACCGCGGTAAACACTGTGAGCTCTGGCCGCATCGCCCAGTTGTTGAACAGCTCAGCAAGTCGCCTGTTGAGTGCTTCACCTGCCAGCTGCATGCAGGCGAACTTCATCTGGGGCAAAGCCTGAAGGAGCTCGATGGTTTAACACAGCTGGATCTTCTTGTCCAGCCGTGTCAGACTACTCTGCGAAAGACGCTTCTGGAGTCAAAGTGGCTCGGCAAAACGGCAACGAGAGCAGTGCATGTCTGCCTGTCGTCCTGTTCAGTCCTTAGCAGTCCGATGCGGTCAACATCTTGACAGCTACCAAATGCCATGTGGATATATAAATACTTGCGTTCGTTTGCACACGTACAGCAGTATGTTACGCGCGTCGCAGGTGGCTTGCGCTCGGTGCTCGGTGCGCGACGTTTGCTGCGGATATACATGTTAATAAAAAATACAAGTACCCAGCTTCTGAGCATGGCGAAGTACGTGACGCACAGCTGCTTACCAACGGGGTTCCATACAAAAGAAGCTTACACATCCGTCAGCGGGTCGTAGGACATGCCGCCTTCTCTGAAGTCATGAGTCCAAACTTGTTTTGCTGGGATAACGACCATCAATGTAGCGTGAGGCACAGGTTTTGCGACGTGATAGTGTCAGGACACGATTACCTTGTCGTATTCAATGCTTTAAACTGCGTTTATCCTCACTCTTGGGATCCTCTTGACTCCTCCTTATTATCCCCCTCTTCTTCCTCCTCCTCCTCCTTCTACTCGTCGTCCACCTCCTCTTCTTACTCCTCCTCCTCTTCCTCCCCTTCATCCACCTCCTCCTCCTCCTCCTCCTCCTCCTCCTCACTCTCCCTCCCTCCCCGCACCAGGATCCGCGAGTGGCAATAGTGTTTGATAGCTTGCATGCTCAGTAACACGTGACAACCCCGGTATGCCTGACAACTTACCCATTCATGGGGCCCACTGCCACACGGAACTTCTGCCTCATGGTGCGCTGATATCGGGGTGGTCATTAAAAGCCGCAGTTTTGTCATAAATGCGCGAAAACGTAGAGAGCACGATGTCATGTCACAGGTCAACTAGAGGCGCAGAAGGCGTCACATTCCCCTGCGATCCAGGCCACCCAGTGGTGAAGGAGTTGGTTGGCCAGGCGATGCTGGTGAGTAAATCATTGGGAACAGGAACGCGAGCTAGCGATCAGAATCCTCCAAGGAATGCTGGAAAAGCGCGCGTCAGTTTGTACAGCGCGCAATGCTGCAGGTAAGCGGAAACTCATCGCTCTAAAACTCCAACCATCTTACCAGGCAAGCGGCGGCTGATAGAGAAGCACGAGAACAAGAAAACAGGGAGAGCAGCGGAATAAAAACGAGACAAGCCGAAACGGAACACGGGCAAAATACAACTAAGATGTCAGTGTTTGCTGAAGAACAAAAAGACTTATCGTGTTGTTTGATGGGAAGCCGTTGGGCAAAATGAAATGCAGATAATGCGCCATAAATGTGGCAGCCAGTGCCGCATGGTATGGAGGATGTTGGTGCTTGATCGACCAGCCTTTGTGTGCCATTCCAAGTTGGATTTTTCCAGAAATGTGGCGGTGTATGTTTATATAATACGATGCTTTTCGAGCTCTAATCATGCATTGCTGTTTAAACGGTATTCTGATCATGCATTTTCGAGACTTACGTCGTTCAACTAGTAAGTCCAATTAAGTCCAATGTTCTATTGCTTCCAATAAAGACTCAGCAGCTCACAATATAAAAAAGACGTGTGGGCTCGTGGCCATCTTTACTTACGTGAAGTATTGATAACCTGCGTCGTGCAATGAAATCATCCTAGACAGCTCCATAGACCTGTTTGCGATCACTTCTGGCTGCAATCTTGGAGCAATGTCCTTGCTAACTTTGTTTTGCAAAGTTCAACAGTGTTGTAAATTGTACTTAAAATGCACAGCCGGCATGGAGCCGTGTGAGAACAACTTTACGTAGAAAATAGGGAGGCCTCGCGCAACCCTTCAGCCATGTCATGCCATTGAAATAAACATAGCAACGCAGCTTTCCCACGAAATGCTTCGTTAAGTAGGCGTGTTCTGCTATGTGCCACGCAGCTGCGATATCGTTATGACGGCGTTTATTCCATGACGCTAACGCGGAGACCACAGCGCGAAAGTGACCGCGATTCAAGCAGTGGGTTATGTTGTGGTAGCCATACCATTTTTCGGCTAGATAACTTTCCGTTCGTTCCCTAAGACGTTAAACTATAGACCAGTTTGCTGAGCTGTCAGCCCACGGAAACCACTAGATGCACACAGCGCGCAACGCATTGCATTATGCATTATGCAGCATCAGCATGCCAGGCATAGCTATTGCATTCGATTAACTTGTTCAAATAGCTGGCATTTTCTTCTTCTTCAGTGTGCCATGCTATGCTGAGTGGAACAGTATTGTGTTATACATTTGGTTACACATTAACACAACTAACAGTTTTGCCATTGACCGTACTACGGCTGGCCGTAACCATGGTAACCGTGGTAAACAACTGTTCTTTGTGAAGCAGCGCATTGTAGTCGATATTGGCGCGGCGGTACTTTATTGTGCATTGTGGATGGAGCGTTGACGGCACGCAGGTTTGGGGCTGTCTACTAGGTTTGGATTTGGATCCATATTAATCGTAATTTCCTTATAATATGTCCAGAAACGATTTCGGAATGAGTTTGCACTAATTCCTTAAGGTAGTGTAAACGCGCCAAAATCATTATAATTTAGGTTTGGGTGTACCGTGAAATATGGGACGGTCCTTGCCGGTTCGGTTTGCGATGAACACAACCATCATATAGAGCATGCGTTTATAATACTGTCGTTTGCTCAGGCGCAGAACTTAACTACATGAAGAAGCCATGTCTATTGCGGAGGTATCACTGGTCCATTTATTTGGGCTTAGGAATGATATACCGAATAATGTGTTCTACTGCGATGATCAAAATATTATCTATCCGGCGGGATCGACAATACTTACTTACAACGCCTTACATAAACATCAAACGCATTTTGACGAACTTAGAAAACTAAGGAATTTGAAGAACTTTGCATTAAGTCAGAACAAGTAAGTTTTGGAGTCGGCAACTGCTCATTTAACAATTTGTTCTAGTCGTCCCGCGTCAGGTCATATCGTCATCGTGTACCTGCTAGCAGGCATTGGCCGACTTTCTGGCCCGATATGTGCTTACTATCTATATTGGAATGCTTCACCAGAATCTATCTCACCAACAGTCATCAGTCGTGCCCACGTCCATAAGTTCATTTCGATGTCCGATACCGCTCCGTTCAATGGTGTCAACGTCTGAGTCGATTTGTGTCGTGAGCCAAAACGCTGAGTCATTGTGTTGTGGTTGCAGGAACAATAAACCTACACGTGGAAATGTCACCCTCCGGTGCGCTTCAACACTCTGTATTTGACTGATGACCTAAACTGACTCCTTCAGGCGGTATTTGGCTGTATCAGACAGCGTAGACAAGCCGAACATCTTCATATATGACCTGTCCACGAGCAAGCGTCGCAAGACGCTTTATTGCACGGAGGTGCAGTCCAAAGATGTCGTGTCGCTCTCCTTCTCGAGCGACCACAAGTATGTGCTGGTGCTGGGTGGCAGTCCTGACTACACTCTGGTCGTCTACCTCTGGGAGAAGGGCAAGATCGTCACCACCTTGAAGCCCAACATGCCCAATGCCTGGGCTGCAGTCAACCAGGTGAGGTGTTGTGGTTGCTCTTCGTGGCAAAGAATCAAGACCGTAAAACATGGCGGCTGCGACTAAACTAGGCCACATACAGGTACATCGGCTACAGCTCGAGTCGATGAGAGGGGGAAACTTGACCGCGACCTAGTCGGCTTTGTTCATTAATAGAAAATATAAGAGTAGTCCGCCCTACCAGGCAGTTGCTGGTGGCCTCGATCCAGCGTTCCCACCCGGTCACTCCTCGCTCTCATGCAGCTGGCGTGATGACGCTACTCATAAATGCCATACATACGACTAATCACAGGGGTTGGAAACAGTAATGCTCATTTCTGTTCGATACGCGCACTTTAACAGCAGCTAACCACCGGACCAATGAACTGCTTAGACTACGTTTTGGGTGACTTGAGACTGATGCAGAGCTATGACCATGCATGGGACGAGCTTGCCTCGTGAATCACTGGAGGCGTAGGTAAGTGCGAGCGTGTGTGTGGCGGTATAATCCTAACTTCTAACGTTTATCTCGGCACGAAGCCTGGTTACTGACATGCTGCAAGTGCCATTCCCTGGCCTCCCCAGGCTGGTTACATGGAGTCGGTCATCTCACCAGGCTGGTTACATGGAGTCGGTCAGCTCCCCAGGCTGGTTACATGGAGTCGGTCAGCTCACCAGGCTGGTTACATGGAGTCGGTCAGCTCACCAGGCTGGTTACATGGAGTCGGTCAGCTCACCAGGCTGGTTACATGGGGTTGGTCAGCTCACCAGGCTGGTTACATGGAGTCGGTCAGCTAACCGGGCTGTTTGCACGGCTCATTACATGCCGCCGTCTGTGCCGGCCCCTGGGCGTGCTGCGCCCGGCAGCCGCGGTTGTCATCCGGTGAGCGTCTGGTCCCGGTCCCGGCAGGCGGTCTACAACCCGGCAGACCCGGCCGTCATCGTGGTGGTGGGCCAGCACCTGCTCAAGATGCTCCGCCTCACTGAAGGGTCTCTGCGCCAGTTCGGCCATCAACGCGTCGAAAACACCAATTATCTGTGCGCCGCGTGGGCGGGTGCGTGCTGACTGGCCCCGCGCCACAGGGGCAGGGACAGGAGCTGCATATGCGCCGCCTGGGACACCGCCTCTCTTCACTCATTGCGACCAGCGCATCCCAGGGCACTGTGTTAAGTCCAGACCCAACACTCATGTTTGATCTCTCGTACAGCACACATCCGACACTATTCACCGATACACCTCCCTCCCCCTCGTACAAACCAGTCTGCTGCGCAGGACATCATGTAGAAGGCGGCGATCCACCGAACCTTGAATGCCGCCGCAAGCATAAATTCCACAGCATGTTTAAGTGAAGGGAGCGCTGCTGGGTTGGCTGAACTTCTGCCCCCGGTCTGGCTGCGGGGAGGCGTCACAGCACGCTGCTTTTAGGACCGGTTTAACGGGCCATACAGTTTTAAAAAGCTGGTTTCGCACGGATCTAGCATTATCTGGCAGACCATACTCTACCATGGTGGTTCAGCAGTTAAGGCTGGATATGCACCACGCTCGCTGCTCGTCCTATCCAATTACTCAGTCCAGCAGCGGGCTTCCACATTATCGGATATCCAGCGGGTTCATTCGCACTATCCATTCAGTTGAATTTACCAGAGCAGTTACAGCGTACTTTCACTTAAGGGATAAACCGCATTACAAGCACGGCCCAGTCCCCGAGGCAGCCACTGCAGCCCCCGCAGGTCCGCCCCTGCCGGGATGCACATCGCAGCACCCTGCTGGGACGCCCGCCGGCTTGTCAGAGCGCGCCTCGTGAACCCTTCACTGAATCCGTCACTCCCGCCGCGGCGACGACGCTGGGCGCCAGCTTCCAGGAATGCTCTCTGTACGCGGACAGGGATGCCTGCTCAGAGGCAGGACCATGGGACAAGCCGTCGCCCGGTTGAACCCGGAACTCGGGACCCGGTTGCCGGAGAGTTTGAGTAGTGGGCGCCATGGTGGTATCGTCACATCCATGGCTGCATTAAGACGCAGCAGGGAATTTCCCGGCTTTCATGATTGGTGGAAAATCATATTAAACACGTCGGACCCTTTTCACACAAAGCTTACTGTGTCAAACACCTTTTAAGCCAAGACTTATTCGAAAAGCCTTGCCAGCAAACTGTGTTGTTCTTTTCTTCTTAAAACACCGTAGGCCCGAATCGCATGGTGGGAGGGGAAGGGCTGATCGGCAACCTGCCGACACCTGGGTGTATAGGATTGAAAAAATGTGATTTGGCCTCCGTATAACTACCTTTTCCTAAAGTTTTTACCGGTAAACCCGACAAACTGTAACATTACCCAGTAGATCTACCAAGCTAGCAGTTCGATGCACAAGGATTTCTAGGGCTTTTAATTCGCACGCCGATCCCCCCTTCCCCCCCCCCCCGCCTCACTATTCAGTACTGCATTTCCACCCAACCACAGCCAGAGCTACTCGCTTAAGAAAAGGGAAGTTGTTAAGCATGCTGTCTGTGTATTAAAACTCGTTTGCATCAAAGTCCAGTGCAGCCAGCACGTGCGTCCGCGGTCCTGGCGTTTGTGATTGGTCTCATAAGCACAGGTGTCCGGTGTTCCAGGATGCCGAACGGACAGTGCTTTAGAGTGCATATTATAAGAAAGATATAACATAAGCTAGACACATAAGATATGCCTTCGGGCGCCGGAGCGCGAAATGCAGCCCATGTGATCCGACCGTCACATCGTTACAGGCATTATGGAAACGTTGTAAACGTTGTTGTTAATCATAGCATCTCGTTTTAGTGGCTCTCAAACCATTCCGGAAACCGTTGAACGTCACGGCCCATCGAATGAAGCTCACCTTCACTGCTAGCCTTGTGAGATGTTTGCAGCTATACTTCCACTTCACAGCATTTCTGTTTCGTTTTGATTGACCGAAGGCGTATACATGAACTAGCAAGGTGGTACACCGTTTAAGAGTGGTATGGCCTGCCATTACAACGTGGTGTGCTCTGGCTGGAGCAGCCCAGCGGCCCCGGTGACAATTCGGCTCGACCGGTGCCCGTGCAGGCCAGAACCGGCTACTGGTGGGCACGGACCAGGGCCGCGTGGTGTTGTACGACGCGGCCGAGCTGAAGGCCGAGTTCCGGCTGTCGGAGGCGGCCAGCCGCGAGCCGACGGCCGAGCCAGAGCGCCGCTCGACCAGCGCCGCCCGCTCCAGCTCCGTCATCTCCAGCGGCGGCGAGCCTGTCACCAGCATTGTCACCTTCTCAAAGGTCGGCGCACGCACAGGCCGCCGCCGACGGGCGCCTGTCGGACCGCGTACCTCGTCCGAGGTGGCGTCGCTGCGGGGAGTGGCACGGATGCCCTCCCGCGCGCCGTGGGCGGACAGTATTGTCACAACTGTCCTCCAATTGGCCGGGTGCCTGATGCAGTTTGATCGCCCTCTGCACAAGGGCACAGCCTGTTGGAAGTCGTCCCGCGGTCCAGATTGGTCACATGACGTGCGCACTTGGCGGCTTATCTGAGGCGCTCGGGCTGGCGGGCTGCACCCATGTCCAGTCGCAGCCATCACTTGCTCGGTTTGCTGGACGTTTCCTGTGGCCGCTGACAGCCGCGGTCGCTCTCGTCCCCCGCCACCGTCCCCGCTCCGACCCCGCTCCGACCGCCCCATCCCCACAGGGGTTCGTGGCCGTGTGCGGCGTGGGCGTGGCACACGTGTTCGACCGGGCCGAGGACCAGACGACGGAGTTCTACCGGCTGCTGCGCACCGTGCACATACCACAGGACCCGGGCCGCCTGGCGGCCTCGGCCGACCTGCAGGAGGGTATCACCGGCCTGGCCGTCAGCCCCTCCGAGGAGACACTTGTCGCCGCCTCCACGCGCAGCCAGCTCTACGTCATCGCCATGAGCAGCGTCTTCCTCACCAGCAAGGTGTTGCTGGCGGCGGTGGGCCATGTGTGAAGCCGGGCGGAGGGGGGGGGGGGGGGGGCTCGTTTGGGGAAAGGGAACGGCGGCAGTTTAGAGTGAGCAAGTGAGGCTCTCCCATGAGACCCTATTTCGTTGGCTGGAAAGCATCAGTCAGCGAAATAGGCCGCGAGTGCTATGACCTTAGCACTGGCGACCGCGTCGATAAATATTCAGGAAATTGATTTAGCAAGCAGGGTGTCGCGGCAACCAGACGGCCGCTGGGGTCCGGGTTGTGCCGTGGCACATGGTGTACCTATCACTCCCAGTTGTTAGGTGGTGTGTGTGTGAGAGAGCGGGGGGTGCAGCATGTCATGCACATTGCAACGTTTCGAAACAGGAACAAATGACGAGGAGCCAAGTATTGAAGTTATTGTCTAGGGTCATCGTCTGCATGCGCCTTCCACTGCCTAGCATAGCAAAAACCGACTCATGTGTGCGCATCGCTCGACTCATGCATCCCTCCTTGGCGAGCGCTCAGCCGTGCCGAGATACCCAGTTGCTGACCGCCGGCAGGGCGCCGACTGCCTGTTCGAGCACCTGTCGACGCCGTTCCACTACGGCAGCATCCTGGACATGGACCTGTCGTTCCGGCGGCCGTTCGCCGTCACGTGCGGCTCCGACCGCACCGTGGCCGTCTGGAACCACAAGACCATGACGCTGGACGTGTACAAACAGTTCCAGGACGATCTGCACAGCGTGGCCATACACCCGCTCGGTACGTCCGGCCGTCGCCCCGGCCAGGGTGCTGGCATACACCCGCTCGGTACGGCCGACCGTCGCCCGGCCAGGGTGCTGGCATGCACCCGCTCGGTACGGCCAGCCGTCGCCCCGGCCAGGGTGCTGACCATACACCCGCTCGGTACGGCCGGCCGTCGCCCCGGCCAGGGTGCTGGCATACACCCGCTCGGTACGGCCGGCCGTCACCCCGGCCAGGGTGCTCGCATACACCCGCTCGGTACGGCCGGCCGTCGCCCCGGCCAGGGTGCGCGGTCGGGGGCGGAGCGCGCCCGGGCTCAGGCAGAGCTGGCCTTTGTCTGAGGCGTGATGCGTTGTGCTGAGGCCTTGTCTGAGGCCTCCACCGCTCTGAGCGTGCGATCTGATGACGGAGTAGAGTTTTACGTGTTTTGCATCAGAGTATGGCTTAACTAGTCCCGATGCAATAAGCCCGTCCCGAGGGCTCAGTCGGTTGGAGGGCATGCCTGCCGATTCATCCACCCGTGGCGGGATGAGGTCGAGCCGCTTTGGCGCTCGCTATTTGTCCTTGGCAGGTATGACCTGCGGTCTGTGGCAGCGGCCGCGATAAAGGTCGGATGACGTCAGAGGGCATGACAGACTGTGCTGAGCATTGCGGGAAGTTAAGCTTTCGCCATCGAATTCTGCCGTTGACCTGGATTGCGCGATCTCATGGTATGATTCAGGGTTTATACAGCAAGCACTGCTTAGCGTGTGCTATGATCCCAGAAATTCATCCATTCAAAGGGCTCGGATTAAATATTTTTAAAAAGCTATGCTCGCCTCTGAACTACAAGAGTCGTGCCGCGGCTCTTAGTGGAAGCTAAATGACGATAGAAACAGGGACGTAAGTGTGCAGGCCGCATCGCAAAGAATGAGATGATTCAGCTGCAACGCATTTGTTTCTTTGCATGCCATTGCGATGGTTGTTACTCAGGATACGGAGAGACCAGAGCTAGAGTGTGATGCAAGGGCTGATGCGTATAATCCTGTGACTAACAAGGAAACTGGCTGCGAGTGGTCACTTATCAGTGACTAAAGCGCAGCTAGTTGGCTTGAACTTTGATATTGATATGAGAGGCGCGATGAAAGTCCAATTCTCGGTGATCTTGGACACGGAATTGACCTTATTGAGACCTAAACATGCGCTTGTGATGTGTCCAGAAGTCTCCGCATCAAAATTAGTTCCAGCCCACGGTCCAACGCTTTCCTAGTTTGCGTTCTGGGGAAGCAGTTTTGTGAATGAAAGGAGCGATCTTGCACCATCTAACCAGTGATGCATTATCGGCCGGCTCCTGGGTCTGGTGCACAGAAACTGTCGGGCTAGAAGCGCCAAGCTGTGTATAAAAGATGGTACTGTTGAATTCGCAGAAAACTTTCACTAGAACGGATCGAGAAGTTGTGAGTATTCTTTTGCCATTAATGTAAAAAGGTGCCCACTTGGCTTTCATAAAATTCGATTTGAGCTTAAAAAATACCTTTGGGGCATGTGCGAGTAACCAGAGCCATACTTGAATGGCAATAGTATTCGCTCTGGTATGCGCGCGATTCTCCGTCTCTTCTCACCACACATGAAATCGTGGGTATAAAACGACCCGGGGACCAACTGCAGTGGTCTCAGTCCCTCCTATCCCCCCCCCCCTCCCCTCTGAGCCGAGAGGAGGCACTGCAGTGACCCAGACGGTCGGCCCTCTCGCCGCCATCGAGCCCTCCTGAGCCGGGTAGGGGACACTGCGGCGACCTGGAAGGTCGGCCTTCTCGCCGCCATCGAGCCCTCCTGAGCCGGGTAGGGAACGCTGCGATGACCCCGGACGGTCGGCCCTCTCTCCGGCAGGCTACAGCTTGCTCGCCGGCTTCTCGGACAAGCTGCGCTACATGATGATTCTGATGAACGACTTGCGACCCATCAAGGAGTTTGCCATCCGCTCGTGCACGCAGTGCGCCTTCAGCAACGGCGGCCACCTGTTCGCCGCGGTGCATGGCAACGTCATCCAGATCTACTCGACCATCACGTTCGAGAACGTCGGCAACCTCAAGGGCCACGGCGGCAAGGCAAGGAGGCAGCAGCTGGCGGGCGGTGCAGGTCGTGTGCCCCGTGTGATCGGGAGCTGGGGGGTGGCGCAGGTCGTGTGTCCCGTGTGATCGGGAGCTGGCGGGTGGTGCAGGTCGTGTGCCCCGTGTGATCGGGAGCTGGGGGATGGCGCATGTCGTGTGCCCCGTGTGATTGGGAGCTGGGGGGGGGGGCGCAGGTCGTGTGCCCCGTGTGATCGGGAGCTGGGGGGGGGGGGGTGGCGCAGGTCGTGTGCCCCGTGTAATCGGGAGCTGGCGGGTGGTGCAGGTCGTGTGCCCCGTGTGATCGGAAGCTGGCGGGTGGCGCAGGTCGCGTGCCCCGTGTGATCGGGAGCTGGTGGGTGGCGCAGGTCGTGTGCCCCGTGTGATCGGGAGCTGGTGGGAGGCGCAGGTCGTGTGCCCCGTGTGATCGGAAGCTGGCGGGTGGCGCAGGTCGTGTGCCCCGTGTGATCGGGAGCTGGCGGGTGGCGCAGGTCGTGTGCCCCGTGTGATCGGGAGCTGGTGGGAGGCGCAGGTCGTGTGCCCCGTGTGATCGGGAGCTGGTGGGTGTCGCAGGTTGTGTGACCAGTCCTGCTGTCGTGTCACGTGATCACTACTCAGGAAACAATTTGCATTTGTCGCCTGTCGTGAGGTCTGGGACGTTTGGTGTCGGTAGGGATGGTTTGATGGATTGTTGGGGTGCCTGCGTGGTTGGGGTACCTCAAACGACCTGACCTGACCTGACCCGACCTGACCGTACCCGCCAAACATAGCACTGCCAGGCTTGTGCGACCTGCCCTGGTCTGACGCCGCCAAGTATTTAACCCTTTGCTAGGCGCCGTCGAACGGCCGTCTTAGATCGTCCGATCTGATATTGCCTTGCCTGACCTGACCTGACCTGACGCCGTCAGATCCGTGCCCTCCGCTGGGCGCCGTCGGACAACCGCCTCGTGTCGTGCGGCATGGAGGGTGCCATCTATGAGTGGGACCTGCAGCTGGGGCGGCGCTGCGGCGAGAACGTGCTGCGCGGCTGCAACTACTTCAGCACGGCCGTCTCGCCCGACGCCAAGACCATCTACGCTGTCGGCTCCGACAAACTCATCAAGGAGGTGTCCGACTCCCAGGTGAGCGGGCGCGCCGTCCGACAGGGGCTGGAGCACCGCGGTCCCCTGGATTCGGTTCCGCAGGCAAATGTGGAGCTGGATCAGAATCATGTTGCATTTATAACGTTCTGCAGAACCACTGAGTGTACGGTACGCGTTGACTTCCAAAATGATGGAAAGAACATGACACAGCAGCTCTGAAGGTAAGATGAAACCCAAGGTCCATCACCCTCAATCCATGCCAAACAGAAAGTCGATTTTTTTACATCTTTGTTTTAATCCACACGTGTTTTTGACTGTTTCACTTGACAGTTGTTTGTGATGATGATGATAACGGGTTTATGACGATGGTGATAATGATGATCATGACGACGATGGTGATTATGATTTGGGATTTACGTCTTACCGACTGTCAGGGCCATTTCGGGACGGAATGCCTTTATTAGTTACCATGCGGGGTATGGCTGTGGCGAGACAGGGCTTTGCACCCAGGACCGACAGCTTCAGAGCCAAACGTTCTTAACACTGTACCACCATCGCCCAGTCTACATGTGCTGTCCCTCGTTTACTTAGGTATGAAGACTTTTCGAACGCCTTTTACGGGCTTTAAATGTCCTGTAGCGCATCTTTCGACACAAATGCTGTTCTGTTCCATGTGGTTCGTTCTGACATAACCTAAACGCATGCTACTTTACCTAGACATCTGAGAACGCTCTCGCGCTGTACTCTGATAACGGTGGGACTCCGCGACAACGTGGAAGCGACAGAGGGGAAGGAGGGGGGGGGGGGGGGGGGGGGGAGGGCAGGTGCCTACCCCTCCTACTATCGCAGGCCAGGATAGAGATGAGGAGAGAGCATACCCTCGTCACCAGATAGGTTATGCAATATGAGGACACTTGTTGAAGTCATTCTATTATTTGTAGCTGAACTATTTGGAAAGCCATGAGAACCAGCGGTCAAGGCGTGGCCAGCGACTTGTGGTGACCTGCAGGGGCAGAATGTCCCGTACATGTGAGAGAGAAAGAGACGATGTCAAGTCAGAAGAGGAATGTTGATTGCCTCGCTTTGCTGGTATTAAAATCTGGGATAAAGACCGACTTGAATGAGTGATAAAACGTTGATGAAAGCTAACGTTTCAGGGCACGTGTAACGCGACTAATTGCGCGGCTGGAGGGCATGTTGCCAAAGCTTAAATGAAGAGCGGCTTAGACAGTCTTGCTCTGATGACCCTATGGTGCTATTTGGACCTGACCCTCTGTAGATCAGTTTGAGCTTGCCGAGGTCATTGGTCAGGCGTGAACTCAGTAAAAACTATCCGGGGGATGCTCGAAATTCATGTGAAAGGTGTTGCTGAAGATGGCAGGAGGTTAGCTTGAAAGTTGTGCGCTATTTCTCAAAAATGTAGTGTAGTTGTTCAGTGTATACCTCTCTCCTCAACCTGAGGATTAATGAGCTGATACTGTCTAATCTGGGCTGAGTTTTGTTTTTATCTTGTTATCAAATATATTTCATGGTGCCTTTCCTCATTAACCGGCTTTGCAAAACACGGTTTTTCTTATATGCAGTCTATTCCGACAAGAGCGTAATATTCTGGGCCTGTTCCCATCTCCGGCGAATTCGTCATTGCCAGTGATGTGAAACACGGCGTGATTCGATGTCAAAGCAATATTTCCATAGGCCCTCTGTTGTTTTGTTGCCAGCACGCATGGTTTTGTAGGTTTGAGAAGCTCTCAAAAGCCCTCCGGCCGGGTGCAGAGATGTATACCCGCCTCCTGCCCGACCGGCCTGGCGCGGCCCAGTTATTGCCAGTCGTCCGCCTTTTATACCCTACTCTTTATCCAACGTCCTTGCTTCAGCATGATTCCTCTTCGACAGATTGGTTCGGTAGTGCTGAGATTTATGTAATTCCTCCAGCTCTCGTTGGTGTGGACTCGAACATCCTATTGGTTTCTATGCAAAACAACTGTTTACGGAAAGTTACAAGATATTGATCGCACATTTGTTTATTACACGCACCGTTGATGACTCCTAAATCAGGCACTGCTGTGCAAGAAATAACATGTGGAATGGGGCAGACGTGAAGTAAGTTTGTTTGGCTCTTCGAGCGTAAACTCGCGTCCGTTATGCCATGGCAACCGTTGGCTGTTATCTGCTCAGTGGACAGGAGGGCTCTGGTTCGGCATGTCGTCAAGCCGCGGCTCTTGCCGCTCTGGTATCGGGTACTGGTATCAGCACTAGCCGCACTGATACCAGATGGTGGGTCCGTGCTGATGGGCGGCCAATAAGCCCAAAGTTCCATCGAACAAAGAAGGCAGCACAGGTGTAATGAAAACCTGTGACCATTTCCGCAAGATTTCATTATACCCGTTGATGCGTTTCATTCTCATTCAACTTTGTTCGCCTTCATGACCTGTTTTTACAACAAATAGATCAGAGTACCCGTCGTGGTATATATGCACTGAGCGAGACCGCTGTTTTTTCTCGAAGTCACACACATACACACTTCAGTGACGTGAAGTAAAACATGCTGATCACCCTGGTCAGCGTATGTGGCCCACTGACGAATACGTTTTTACACTTACTGGGAAGGACGCGTGGCCGCCTTTTTCGTGACGCTGCTACGTCACCACAAAAGTACATGTCAGGGCTAGTATTGTTCGCTGCGACAGTCTGTGAATGAAACTGGCGTGTTACGGGATATTGATCTCTTTCCCAAGAGGAAGGCAGCCGCCCGTCCGAATTCGGTCGGTCTCGGCTGTTTGTAGACTGCTGATATACCGTAAAAGTAAGGATCTCCCTTTGCATAGAGTGATAATCAAGCGCCTTAATTTCTCAGAAGTTGATTTTGCTTGTTGTAGGCAAAATTGCTATTGCAGGCCTCCATGTGTCTGGGTGTTGAGCATCGTGCTAACTCCTTTAAAGAAGATGATAGTCTGAAACTCTAAATGTTTTGGTTGCATGGGTCCCTGGAATCAGAGCCCTAAAGTTAGCCCCCGATTTTTATTTCTTTACGTATTTGTGATAAACATTTGTAATAGTTTCGGATTTGTTACGACGTCATGACAAGTAAATTTGAGGCTGAGGTTGTCTCATATTACGTGGAGAAGCCACAAATGACCCCTATAACACCTTGCCTCCGCGCTTCGTCTGCATTTGCGCTCGCTAAATTGGAACCCTATTTCGCTTCATGTCTCATTTTGTGACACAAACTTGTGGTAGCCAAACTCCAGCCAGATAACGTCAAAATGACGATTTTCAACAAACGCCGAGAGCGATGCGTGGTTTTGTGACTTGACATGATGTCACGGTTCGTGTAAAATGGTCACGATAAATGAGTTTATCCCACCGTTGATCGTAGATTACGCCAGTTTAGGCATAATTTTTAGACGGCCCGCTGTAGACAGTACAAAGCTGTTTTGCGTTTAACGAACGGCCTACGAGGATGATGTGCATTTGCTTGGTATTCGTGATGCCGAGACCGGAGTTGCGTTCTTGACCTGACATGATTTCGGGGTCACGTATCACTCAACACGTGTCAAGGATAGTTCGATCTATACACCATCCATTTTATATGCCAATGACAGCGCAATACAGTACACACCAGCCTGTGGGAGAGTCCCTCCCCCGCAGCCGTCCATATGTTGCCACCTGATCTGACATGAGATGGCACTGATGCTGTGAACGTCACCAGGTCTGTGTCGTAGGCATGTAACGCACGTCCTGGTTTGCTCACTGCACTTTGATATAACCCTACTATCGTGTTTAATTTGAATAGATAAGCGCCTTGAAAAACATCGGAACATCATGTGGTTTGACCTGCCTTGTTGCAACATAACTGACCTGTACGCTACGCCACTGACTTCTGCTGTGACCCCTGGCTGGCTGGCCATGTGAAACAGCGCCTTGAACGTCTCTCCCCCAGCGAACAGAACATGGCAAATGCCTCAGCAAATCGCAGGCCAGCGTTCGCAGTAAGGCTGCTCACCCTTACAGGTTAAAATCGAACATCATGGACTTTGCTGGGTGTCAAACTACGTGGTGATGTGTGTGCATGACTCCCACTATTGCCCGCAAACATTTTGTTCCCATCCAATAAGTTTGACGCCTCTATACTTATTTTATATTTCATGTCATGACTCATCAGTGATAGCGTTTCGCGGTATATTTCTCAAAGCGTTTGGTCAAATGTGGTTAGCTATATTCGTAACGAGTTTGAACACGCAAGCCTCATGCTCTAGCTACGGAACCACACACAGATTGGCTGAGCTGGCGGTTCCCACGAAGCGGGCGGTACAGCTCCTCTCCAGGACGTCCGGCGGCAGGGTGTTGACGCGGTACAGTGCGTTGACGCAGCGTGTGTTGTGTGTCGACAGTGTGTTGATGCGGTGCAATGCGTTGACGCAGTGCGTTGGCGCGCCCAGCGGCAATGTGTTGACCCGGTGCAGCATGTTGGCGCAGTGTGTTGCCGCATCCAGTGGCAGCGTGTTGACTCGGTGCAGTGTGTTGCCGCAGTGTGTGGACGCGTCCAGCGGCAGTGTGTTGATGCGATGCAGTGCGTTGACGCAGTGTGTTGACGCGGTGGAGTGCGTTGCCGCATTGTGTTGACGCGTCCAGCGGCAGTGTGTTGCCGCATGTGACAGCAGCCGGTGCCGCGTGACCGCAGGTGATCCGCGAAGTCAGCTGCCAGGATGTGGTGCCCACCTGGGTGGCGCTGTCTCGCTCCGGCCGCATGCTCTTCCTGGGCCTGCAGAGCGGCGTGCTGCGTTCCGTCAAGTTCCCGCTCTCCATCCCCGGCGAGTGGGAGGAGCACTTCGCCCACAACGACGCCATCACCAAGGTGGGTGGGTGTTTGCGTGGTGGGTGCGGCGGCCGTCCCGGCCGTCGGACAGCGCCGCGGATGAGCTTGTTCGCCACGTCCGTCAGGGTCGTTGGAGCGATCTTCCGCCCGGGGTTGCGGCGGACGTGGTCTTCCGCCCTGATCCGTTTCACGCGAATGGCGCTCTTATACTCATACCGGAAACAATTATGAAAAACACTCACAACGCTCAATCTCATCGTGCAAAAAAGCTGCGTATGGTAACTCCGTTGGCGTGGAACCAGTAGTGCAGACGGGGGGAGGTCACAGGGGCCACGTGCCCGCCCCCGCCGTTTAGGTCCAGATTTGAGGGCCCGAAAGGGTTGTTGGAGATCGTATTAAGCGGCCCGGTCTGCAAGGCTGGGCCCTCGAGTGCCAGTCAGAGGGCCTTCTGCGCCGCTTGAGGACTCCCGAAGTCGTTGAGTGTCCGGTGTCAGTCAGACATCATCAGAACTGGTAGTCCGGTTCCGGTCGGCCTGGGTGTGAGTGCCGATTTCCCAAGCAGGGTAAAGGCGGGGCTCGCGATTTACATTGGTCGAGGCCCCCGAGTCAGTGAGAGGCCTCTGTGCTGACCAAGGACCCACAGTGCCTAACAGCGTGTCCTGTGCTGGTAAAGGGCTGTGAGCCAATCATGCGTCTTGCCGAGGGGCCTGAAGGCGGCTCAAACAGGGACCTGAGGAATTCCTTGGTACCAAAGATGAAGGGCCTGACTGGAAGGCTTATGTGTCCGAAGAGCCCAGGGGCTTGCAGCAGGTCACACTGAGGACCCCGCCCATGAGACCGTGACCTCAGATGTCAGTAAGAGTGTCTTCTACACCGATTGGAGATCCCTGGGAGAATGCGGGCCTCTATTTCGGCCAGAGACCTCCGACACCGAGCAGTCGGTTTCGTGTCCGTCTGTGCCGAGGTGCTCTTGACAACAACCGCGACTGTGGCGGGTGTCGGGGCCAGATGGCTTTGTTGATTACTTCAGACCTGCCGAGGCGTATACCCAGCATCGAATCTCGAGGGATCAAATTACAAACACTTGGGCAAGGGCCAGATTATTGCCAGAAGGCAGGCCTAGAAAGAGCCAAGGCTGGCATTTTCACAATCCGATCACGATGCCGTCACCGTTGCCGTTGCCTTCTTGTCCCTCCCCCTCCCCTTCACGATCCGTCCATGTGTCTGTCTGCCAGCGTCTTTTGAGCGCTGTTCGTCAGCATGCGATAGTCCCCTCTAGTGCTGGGTTCTGTAAACAGCAACTGGTTGTCTGACCGGCAGATGGCGGTGCTCGCGGACGACTCGCAGATGTTCACCTGCTCCTCGGACGGCACTCTGGCGCTGTGGCAGATCCAGGACCCCGAGGGCCGTCTCTCAAAGCGGGAGCGAGCCATTCCTTACGCAGAGGAGATTCTCGTCTCAAAAGTAGAGCTAGATGTGAGTACCCCGCTCCGCGCCATCACTGAGAACGTAAGGCGGGATCGGTCACTCGTGCTCGGTAAGCTGGAACAAGCCAGTCGTTTACTTTCCGTTGCCGTTTGTGACGCAGTTCTCGTCGCTGGGTCACGCACACTGGTGACCGGTGGCTCTGACCGGAACGACGAGACCGCCGTCGGGTCTCACGCCGGAGGGTTCTCCGCCTGGTTCTCAGGAGAAGACGCGACTCATCAACGAGCTGAACACGCGCGTCTCGGAGCTGCGACTGGAGAACGAGTACCAGCTGCGGCTCAAGGACATGACGTACGGCGACAAGATCCGGCAGCTGACCGAGCGCGCCGACCAGGATATCCAGACGCTCAACGACACCATCGAGGTGAAATGGACTCGGCGGCGGCGGGCGCCTTCTGCCCAGTGGGACGGGGCCGTGGAGAGCACCCGCTGTCCAGTCGGGGTGCCGTTGGCCGTGAGGTGCCGCTAGACGCTGAACTGGAATACGGTGAATTAAGCTGCCCGGCACGGGTATGTTTGCAGCTACCAAACCGTGATCTGTGGTTCAAGAGCTGCTAGCCACGTCGTTAGTTATTGAAAGTCTTAATTGTCCTGCACCTTGATGCAAGCTTGCCCGAAACGTAAAGTTGAAGAACGGTGAAAATGCGGGGTATTGTGTTCCTGCCCTGAGAGCAGTTCTCAATGCGCTGGGTTGTTGCATTCGACTGCGCTGTGCATTGCGATGCGAGTCCATATCAGGTAGGCTCTGGGATCATCTCTAACACGATGCGAGTCCACATCAGGTAGGCTCTGGGATCATCTCTAACACGATGCGAGTCCACATCAGGTAGGCTCTGGGATCATCTCTAACAACAGCCGGTTTGGCATTGCCACATTTGAGGTTTGTCTGTGACTAGTTGGTAAGCCTGACCTGACAGCCCACTGACCAAACGTCCAGCGGCTGCTGGCTGGCTGTCGTTCGACTCGTCGGTGACCGTGCGCGTCGCTGGCGGCCGCCTGCAGAGCCTGAAAGAGGAGAATGAGGCCGACCGTGACGCGCACAAGCAGCAGCTGGAGGACATCCGAGCACAGCACCAGGAGGAGGTGCAGCTGCTCGAGTCCAACAGCAATGCCAAGCTCATCGTTGAGTATGAGAAGTACCAAGCGCTGGAGAACAAGATGGCCATGATGAAGGAAGACTATGAAAAGTGAGTTGTTCTGGCACAGGCGGTGTTGGGGCCGGGCCAAGAAGGCACCACGCCGCCTGGCGGCAAGGCGGTGTTGGGACCGGTGTTAACGGCGGCTGCAGGCTCTGTGACTTTCTGAATTACATTATATTTTACGCTCGCTGGTTTCCATGCGAGTGTCCACAGTAGAGCCTCATTGGTTTTTGTCACACCTGATATTCTGAAGCGTTGCAAGCTGTCGTCCGAATAGTCAGAATCGGCATAATCTTACAAGTAACGTGGCTAGGTACGTGTCAGTCATTGCTGTTTCCAGCTGATCTGTCAGCAAGTTCGACAACGTCATGTGTCATTTTTGTTTGACCAGTGTACCTAAAACCCTCAGAAGCGGCCGCAGCACGTTAATACTTCAGATCTGAGCGCTCCACCATGCCTAAATATTCTCCCCGCATCAGCCCCTGTTTCTCCCTTATGCTCACCTTGTTCCGCTCGTCGGCCAGACAGCTGGTGGATCTGGCCGCCGCCGACCAGGCGGTGCTGTCCGCCCAGGCCGAGGAGCACGAGGAGCGGATCCGGGAGAAGGTCGCCCTGCTGGAGGAGGCTCGCGAGGAGGCTGACCAGCAGAAGAAGACCTACGAGGAGATGCAGGTCCAGATCGAGGAGGACGGCGACCGTGAGATCGTCGACATCAAGACCAAGTACGAGTACAAGCTGAAGGCGGAGCGCAACGCCAACGTGCGACTGCGCGGCGAGACGGGCGTGATGAAGAAGCGCTTCGTCAGGTAAGTGGCGGCCAGTGACGGCGCCACCCTCTAGGCTGGCGCTCCTGGCTCGGACCTGGACGCCACGTCAGCGACGTCAGCTGCGGCTGCGCGGTGAGACAGGCGTGATGAAGAAGCGCTTCGTCAGGTAAGTGGCGGCCAGTGACGGCGCCGCCCTCTAGGCTGGCGCTCCTGGCTCGGACCTGGACGTCACGCCAGCGACGTCAGCTGCGGCTGCGACGATCTCCGTTCGTCCTTGACCCGTCCTTGACGCACAGGCAGAGACGCGGCGTCAGGCGTCGGTGCATTGTCGATGGATGGATGGACCCGACATTTCAGCCGGCGTGGCAGTGTCTGGCGCGGATTACAGGCTGGCGCTGTGGCCGTTTTCAGCTTGACAAAGGAGCTGGAGGAGCAGCGACAGGAGATCCAGCGTCTTCAGGGCGAGCACAGCAAGCTCCAGTCCATCATCAAGAACCTCGAGCGCGACATCATCGGCCTGAAGAAGGAGGTGCAGGAGCGGGACGAGACCATCAATGAAAAGGTGCGTGCTCTTCTCCGTGGTCTTCCCGCTCAGATGTCTAAGACTCGCTCGGGTGCTGTCGGGTATGCTGCCAGCAATACTGATCGGAGGAGCAGTGTTGCTGGCAGCATATATTGGCTGATCAGATTAGTTTACGTTCGATGCGCACCGAGAGCGAACTTTTTACAAGTGACACCGTGTTGGATCAACAGAGTGTTCCTCGCTCCGTTATCCTGCCCCGACCGATTCATCGTGCTGTACTTCAGGACTGTGAATGTTTGATTGTTGTGCCTTAGTGTTGCGTGTGTGACGCTTTGTTCAGGCGTGCACTTCAGGCAGCGCACTTTGACTAGCATACAGAAGATGGCCAGTGCGGATGAGACCGTATAATTTCATCAACGTGGTCATTTGGAGCACAAATGATTCGGCACAAGTTCGGCCAGAGCTCAGAAGTTCTATTTGCCTGCTGTAGACTGGCATTTTGACCCAGATGATGTGACCTTACGGGGACTTCCTTTTCATTCACGCTGAGCCCTGTAGTGTAAATATTTGCGCATCAAACGACCAATGCGTTCCCTCAGTCGAGACCCCGTGGCCGGCCGAGGTGGATACGCGGACGTGTTTTGTGTTATGAAAAAGTGTAGACGGAAGCATGACACACACATGGTGTGCTTCCTTATTTATGTGTGTTCATTGTTTACGGACAGATATAAACGGAAACTCCACACACCCGTGTAGTGTGTCCTTCTGGGTGCGAGTGAAGCGCGCTAGAGTGGCTTTATCATTCCCACAAACACTTGCTATCCCCAAGCGACGCCAAACTGTAGCATCTCGCCCACAATCATGATTAAGCCTATTGCGACACAGGTGTGGGCACAGACTTTGACGTAGATGTTTGCAAATGTCATTATTGTGATTTGTGACGTAGTTGTGCGCAGGTATGCCACTGTTCTCAGAAGGCAGTAAGGAAAGCAGAAAATTCTGCTGTTTTAGTATCTTGCTTAAATGGTTGAAAACACATTTGATACGTATGCAGGTGTAGAGATATAGTCAACTTATTGTTACTTTCTATTTTGCAGGAAAAGCGCATTTACGATCTGAAGAAAAAGAACCAGGAGCTAGAGAAGTTCAAATTTGTGCTTGATTACAAGATCAAAGAACTTAAGAAGCAGATCGAACCACGGGAAATCGAAATAAAAGACATGAAGGAAACTATCAACGCTGTGAGTTATTTTAGTTAGTTGGCTGCATGTAAGCACTGAAAGTCTGGTGTACTTTTGTGCTTGCTGCGTTACCGTAGATTGTGCGACTTAATACAATCTTCCTGCAGATGGAGAACGAGCTGGAGAACTACCACAAAAAGAACACGGAGCAGGAGCTGCAGCTGCAGGAGTTCCGTCAGAAGCTGCATGCCATCGAGGCTGAGCTGCACCGCGCCGTGCAGCGCAACTTTGACTTCACCGTCGTCATGAACCGCTACCGCAGCGACCTGTTCTCCTGCATGGACTTCATACAGGACCCGAAAAAGCTCAAGGAGAGCATCAAGGTGCGTGGTCCGCCGGCGGCATCTGGTCCGTCATCAGTGGGGCTTCGAGTTCAGCTGGCGTTGCGACAGAGAGAGGTCGCGTTTGCCGGTGGGAAAGTATAGCCATCGTAAAAGCACAGCAGACGGGTGTGATACTGGTCTGCTGTAAGATGTTTGATAAAACTCAAAGCCCGACTCAGCGAATATCCTTTTTCGGTACATGTTTTCCTTTTGACGGTGCCAGAGCTGATTTAGGCCAAGCTTTGCCCAGCTAAGGCTGACTGCGGACACAGACTTCGCCGCTCCCAGCCGCGGACACAAACTTTTCCGCTCCCAGCTGCGGACACGGACCTCGCTGCTCCCAGCTGCGGACACAAACCTCGCTGCTCCCAGCCGCGGGCACAAACCTCGCTGCTCCCAGCTGCGGACACAAACCTTGCCACTCCCAGCTGCGGACACAAACACCGCTGTTCCCAGCTGCGGACAGAAACATCGCTGCCTCCAGCCGTCACGTGGACAGAACTGTGTCCGGTTGTCGAGTCCCAAAGTAACGAGTTATGTCTTCACGCGGCGGGCTGTCCGTCGTACCATCCTTGATGGGCGCATCTTGCCACGAGCATGTTCTTTGCGTTTCGTTTGCCTTGTCGGCTTGGGCCTGGAATTCACTTGTGATAGACCAGGAGAACAAAGTTCCCTGCTTTTGTATTGTTTATAATGGTATAAAGCCAACCAGACAGGTGGAGAGAAGGCTTTGGGGTGTGTGGATGAATGGGGGGGGGGGGGGGGCGTGAAGAAGGACGCAACGTACCCCCAAAATACGCGAACGAACGGTTTTCTCCCCGGATTTAATCCACTTCGTTCTCAAAGTGTGGGGACTTGGGAAACTGAAGGAGAAACTACAGTCCCACGTAACTGTTATGCTTTGTGAGGCATGCATCAGAGCAAGCTCAGCAGCATCATGAAGCGCCAACAGTAATACTCCCTGTGACCAGTTTTGATGATTGGTTTCAGACACCGCGCCAAGTTGCGTCAAATAGGGATATGGGTTCGTTCGGTGAATAGGCAAGATTATCACTGAACTCCGTATCCGAGGGTTATGTGCCCCTGGTTGGGAAGTTTCTGGTTATGAAAGAGACCGTGGTGCTGGGCCTCGACTGCACTGCCCGTGGACTGACCATGACCCGCCTGACCTGCGGTGTCAGCTGCCCGAGCTCGCTCGTCCGCCGGCAGGCGCTCTACAGTAAGCACGTGACGTCCGAGATCCGGCCGGAGAAGCTGCTGGTGGACGACTCCAGCTTGAAGGAGTTCAGCCGACAGCGTGACTACCTGGAGCGCACCGTGGCCGGACTCAAGCACAAGCTGACTAAGGACACGCACCTGCAGCGCGCCGACAATATCCGCGTTGTGCAGGTACGGCTGCCGGCAGCAGGCGGCGCCCGTCGGTGGGAGGGCGGGATGTGGCATTGGGGCTTTAAGACGCATTCAGCTGCTGAGGCTACATGGCGTCATCTGCCTCTCACCCTGGCAGGAAGGGCGGGCACCGCGGGAAATCAAGCCTCGTGCCTCCGGTTTCCCAGACGCGCAGCGATAACGCAGACGCGTCCACCGCTACATTACCGGCACCCGAGAGGGCGGGAGTGGGAGGGCTTTCGGATTGGTTATCGTGGATAATGTCACAGGACTTGGACAGTGCTAGCCAGTGCATGCAGCGTGACGAGTCCAGGACCATATGGGGTAGTCCCGAGACCGGACGACTGGTGAACACGCCCGATGCCAGCAGTGCAGGCAACAGCCGCGCGCTGGAGCCACCTGCTCTTGCCAACTGGTGACAGGTTCCGGGTCAGCTGAGAGGATACGACACCCCACACCAGAGGTGCAGAAATGTCCCCTCAAAAAGCGGCGTAGGCCCGACCCGTGTTTAAGACAATTCATCCCTTGCAACACCTGAGAGGACTTATGGTAAACTTCTGAAGAGTGTAGATGTGGTCAGCTTCTGTGAGAAGGCCACGGCCCACCCTCCCCCTGGGGCCAGTTTCCGTGCCTGTGTGTTACAAAAGTCACAGGCAGCCGCTGTAAGTCAGGCTTAGGATCGCTGCTGACGCTGCGTTTTGACCTCCCTTGCTGTTATGGCCGTACTCCGACCCCCCCCCCCCCCCCCATCCTCCCCACCCGACCACTCTGATCTTGCTCGTTATTCCGGCCGTGTCCCTCACGTCCCTCCTCCCGACCGCTCTGACCTTGTTCACCATTCTGACCGTGCCCAGACACCTCCCTTGACCTTGTTCACTGTTCTCATGGTGCGCCGGTTCGTTCCCGCTGACCACCCTGCTTTGCTCGCTGCTTTGACCGTGCCCCTGACCTCCCTCCTCCTGATCACCCTGACCTTACTCGCTGTCCTGGCCGTGCCCCTCACCTCCCTCCTCCTGGCCGCCCTGACGGTGCGCCGGCCCGCTCCCGCTGACCGCCGGCCGGGGCCCTTCACCTCCCTCCTCCTGGCCGCCCTGACGGTGCGCCGGCCCGCTCCCGCTGACCGCCGGCCGGGGCCCTCACCTCCCTCCTCCTGGCCGCCCTGACGGTGCGCCGGCCCGCTCCCGCTGACCGCCGGCCGGGGCCCTCACCTCCCTCCTCCTGGCCGCCCTGACGGTGCGCCGGCCCGCTCCCGCTGACCGCCGGCCGGGGCCCTCACCTCCCTCCTCCTGGCCGCCCTGACGGTGCGCCGGCTCGCTCCCGCTGACCGCCGGCCGGGGCCCTCACCTCCCTCCTCCTGGCCGCCCTGACGGTGCGCCGGCTCGCTCCCGCTGACCGCCGGCCGGGGCCCGCCGCCAGGAGAACGTGGCGCTGATCGCCGAGATCAACAACCTGCGGGCGGAGCTACACGCTCTGCGCAACAGCATGGACGGCCTAGAGTCGGCGCTGGGGCTGCGCCGCTCCTCGGTCACGCCGGCCGAGGCGCAGGCCAAGCTGGACAAGGCCATCGTCCGTCTGGACCAGCTGCAGGAGCAGCAGCTGCAGCAGCTGCAGGTGGGGAGAGGTCCGCCGAGGCGGCGGCAGCAGACGCGGCTGGCCCGTGTCCAGGCGCTGCGCGTGGCTGGCGATAGGGCGGTCTGGCGCGGTGCTGAAGTGTGCTCCGTTCTGGCCGTGTGAAGTGACCTGTGGGTTCTTGGGCGTTTAGGGACTGCTCAGAGACTTGGGGATAGGAATAGGGATTTGATTTGAAGTCATCGCCGCAGCCTGCAGATATTACGGACTTAGACCCAGAAGTGTATTTGTCAAGGATCCACAACCATGGTGGTTTTTTCACCAAGCACGTCGGTCAAAATCAAGCACTTTGGATAAGGACCTGGACATCACTGTCACGAGGCACTGACGGCGCACAGCACGCACACACGGACTTCCCAGTGGCGTCTAAACGGGCTGCACGTTTAAAATATCCATTACGCAAAAGTAGCTTCGGATCAGTATTGGTGGGGTTCAGCTTAGTATTAGTGGCTTCTGCGTGCATTTCGGGCTAAAAGACCCACACCGCATGTAACGAGCGTACGACAACACGGACAGTGGGTGCATGGTTGCAGCGAAGTTTGGCTTGACGCCAGAAGCGGTGTTGTCCGGGCTGTGTGCGTGTGCGGGTGTGTTTGCGTATCCCGTGCGGTGTGCCCACTCCCGTCCTGCCGCTGCGCCGCAGGCCCGGGACCAGGTGATCGACGCGCAGCGGCACGAGCTGCAGCTGCAGGCCTCGCAGATCGTGCAGCTGCAGCACGAGCTGGGCAAGTGTCTGGCTAAGCCGGACGCCTTCCTGCAGTCGCTGGGCGAGGAGAGCGACCGCGCGTGAGCCCGCCCTGGAGCCGGCAGCCGCCCGCCCGACAGAGCTCCGCCTCTCGCCGCGTCCGGCTGCTCTTTGTTCGGTTTTGGTCGCCTTCGTTTTGTTCACAGAAAGCTTGGTTTCGATGTCTGAGCACAGTGGCAGCCACATGGTAGCGCATCGCTGTGAGAAGGTGGTGTGTGACCATGCCGTGCGTGCCGGTGGCGGTTCAGCCATTGATCAATGTCCACCAGAGATCACTGCGGGAGGTCAATGGCATGTTCGTCGTCGCTGAGCTGAGATCGTAGCGCACGCCTGTGTCATATTCCGACGAAGACATAAGGTGCTGATATGCACGAGTGGCGACAGGTATGTGATGCGACAGGCACGCAAGAGGCCTCCAAGTGGCGCCAAGGCCTTTTGTCGTCCTGAGGTCTTCCAGGCTCGTGGGTGTCTCTACGTCGCGTGACTTCAAAACTCGTCGCGTGGCGTGTTTTGCACTCGACACTCGCATGAATTGTCATGTGTCGAGCGTTATCCGGCAGGGGTCATGCCGGGGTCTAGGGTTGTTCGGTCGTGCTCTGGCGGCCGGACGAGCTGTCCGGCACTTTCGTGGTTGGCCCAGGTGGCGCAGGCGAACGAAAATTCTGGCGTATGAGCTGGGGCTGGTTGATTTCGGTGTAAGAGATGGTGTACCGGCCACAAATGTTTTGAAAATTGTGAAATGCACGGCTGATCTGTCAAAGAAAAACAGGAGTGCGTGCTCTGTTACGCACTAAAGTATGCTTAAAATATCATCTGTCACATATGTACGGGTTTCGCTCCAATAAGTTTCCAGACCCAGGTGCCAGAACCAAAGGGGCCTATTACGCGCCAAAAAGCCACGAAATCCGTCAGGCGGCTGATTACCTCAGCAGATCAGCCAATTCTGTGCGCAACATTCGCGCTTTTATGACGCATATCTGTAAGTTATAAGTCTTTTGAATGGCATCCATCAGAAGCAGCAAAAACACGTCGCTTATTGCAAGTGTTAAGTGCATTGCTGTCAAATGCAGCGGGCCGCAAACGTCATGTCTGCTCTTCACGCTGCACAAATCGCATCACGGAACACTAAAGCCAATGACGGTTTGTCTTTCACACCGAGCTGGCATACCTCAGCCTCAATCGTTCATAATAGCGACACAGAAAATGTATTAATGCTGATAGATTACATGAGCGGCATAGCATACGCACACATCACCCTGTTCATGAATGGCATGAGACTTCAGGCGATGACGCAGCCTTTGACCCTCCCGGGTAGTGTCTTCAGGTGGGCAGCTGGCGAGTCCGCGTCGGACTCCTCGCCCTCCTCAGCCCGCATCAGACGGTGTAGCACGATCCGGTACACGCCCACCACGGGACTGCGGGCGGTGCGGTGCCTGTGCGCCGCCAGTGTCTCCGGCGGCAGGCCGAGCTGCGCCAGCCGCCGCCGTGCCGCGTCGTGCGCGCCGCCGGCCGCCGGCTCGACGGCCAGGCGGCGGCCGGCGGCCGGCGGCACCTCGCCGGCCAGCCAGGCGCAGCGTCCGGCGGCGGCGGCCGAGAGGCGCAGAGCAGGCCGGCGGCGCAGCAGGCCCGCCACCAGACGGCGCGCCGGCTCGACTGGCGCCGCCGCTTCCGGCCAGCGATGACGGCCGGCCAGCACCTGACGCCGCAGCTCCGGCAGCGTGGCCGCCGCGAACGGCAGCGCACCGGCCAGCGCGAAGAACAGCAGCACGCCCAGAGCCCACATGTCGACGGCGGGGCCGGTGTAGCTGGCCGCCTCCAGCAGCTCGGGCGCGGCGTACGGCGGCGAGCCGCAGAACGACGTCAGCTGCTGGGTGGCGCTGGTGACGCGCGTGCTGAAGCCCAGGTCACCCAGCTTGGCGCGGCCGCGTCGCGTAAGGAACACGTTGTCGGCTTTGACGTCGCGGTGTACGAGGTTCTGGTCGTGCTGGCGGTGCGGAAGAAAAACCAATGAAAGTGAACGGAACCACTGGCCGAGCTCCGACCGTCGGCATGAGCTGTTCGCTAAAGGCGTAACGAGACAATGCAGCACCGGGCTGGTATCTACTACTCGAGACTCGCCTGAGAACAGGGACCGCATTTATGAACAAAACCACATTTGTAAACTGTGTGAGACTGGCAGCCTTCGCAAGCTAGATGCGGTTGTTTCTGCTGTTGACACTCCAGGGCGCTGACAGAAAAGAACTTCGGGACCTCACCACAAGCTGGTGCGAGGTGGCTGTCGTATGATGGTGCATGCCAGCTACGATACTTTACCGTACGCCAGGTGCCCTAGGAACCCGCCTCTGGCTATTTTGGAAGACTGGCGACAGCGGCTCTGGTCTGACGATACTGTCCACTTCATCTGACACCAGCACGTCACGTGCTACACGGATGGCCTAGTCTCACCATCTGATGTACTGCTGACATGTCACGGTCTCTGCTGCACTGTGAATGTTTTCTTAGCACGTGTGCACTGCTAATGACTCACCATGTGTTGCCCCGCTGTCATCTCGTCACCATGTGAGGTGTCTGCAGTGGACACCACGCAGCTGTGTGTTATACCGGCGACGCTATGTTGGCATGGACTCAGCCGTCTCGCCATGCAATACGCAACAAGCACAGTGTTTCATGTAATGGACTCAAGCACCTTCTAATCACCTACAGAATGGGAATTCAGCGCGCAAGAAACAGCGGTGCACTCTCGTCGAGTGTCACCCAGCACGTTCGAGGTCAGCGCGTGCTGTGCACGTGCCACTGTCTCACCATGTGCTGGAGGGCCGACACCAGCTGGACGGCCAGGGCGCGGGCCCGTCTGTCGCCCAGTCTGCCCTCGGCGGTGATGAGCTGGTGCAGGTTACCACCGGCGGCGTACTCCAGCACCAGGTGGTACCGCTGCGGCGTCTCCAGCACCTCGTACAGCCTGCCACACAGGGCGTCGCTCGCGCTGACGCCGCAGTGGCCGTGGCTGCTGCGGGCGGCTCGGCCAGTGCGCTTAGCCTGGCCAACCGACTGGCTGGCTTGAATGGTGGTATCGGAGCAGGGGTCGCGCTAAGTATGGTTTGGCGCGTGAGCCCACCGCCTGAGTACTGGGAATCACGTGATATGTTTGCACCAGCCCGTTAGCCGAGCAATACGGGATTGTTAACGTGTTATGCCACGTCGCTCCACGACCACCAACAGGAGTGATTCTCCCCATTGTTGGAGAACTTGTGGATTGCGTAGACGGCCTTCGGGCCCCTCACTGTCTTGGCCCACCTTGTATCTTAGAGAGTCATTGTCTAACTTTTGGCTCGAAAAGTCGTCGGTGTTGTCGGGACGAAGGCAACCTTGTAGTTCCTGGCATTCCAACTATTTCTTGTCTGCCTTTTTGTTTGCCTGGCTTTTACCCGATTTTCTATCGTTGCTCTTGTTATTTTTGAAACGCGTGAGCGGCTCATTTTACAGTAAATTGTATGTTTATAGGAACCGCTGAAGACAGCCCTATAATTCGAAGTTCATTCATGGTACGTCCTGGATGGGATGTTTTGTACCCCCGCCGCTCACGGAAAAGACTAAGAGCTCTCCTATCCACCTGCCTTCACGCAGCAGTGACCAAGGCACAATCCAAAATGCAAAAGCACAACTCAGAACATTTGCTTGCCGCAACCCCTAATCTGGGCCATCAAGAAATGGCCCACTGAAGGTCACGGATAGAAACTGTTGCGCGTTCAGCTTCTAGGCAGACGAACTGCGAGAGATGACGCCCAGACCACGGCACGCGTCATTACTGTGTCACGGTCATTAGGAGGTCGGCATGGCGTAGACCACGGATGCCGACTTGTCCTGACAGCTATCACGCACTTAACGTGGTGGGCGAAAATCCTTCAATTACACGCTGAAAGTACATGACAGCCACATCAAGACATCAATATGCTTTAGTCAACCCTTCAACTGAGTAACTGTCGTAGGGAGTTGAACATTCAGCACAATTGAAAGACACCGATTATTGCTCGTGGTGCTGCAGTTACTACAACTGGGCTTTAGTCTACCAAACAGTAAGTTTTTCTTCATCACACCCACGACCTGGCCCGCATAATCATTAACGAAGGTGCAAGGCTTCAGAATTGGCCTGATGGGTAGGAATATACAAATCATAAAAGGATCGTCGGTCACGCTCTGCGCTTCTTTCCGCTTGTTCTGGTATCGGTCCACTGGTTTGCAGCCCTGGTTCAGAAATCTGTGACCTGAAGACACTTGTAATCCTTACTGAGTCAGCTGTACACAGTGCATTTTAAATGATATCTGGTGATGTTCCATCATTTTTCCAAGTAACAGGGTGGTATGCCAAATAGCGTGCGTTGGTGATGTGCATAATGCGTGATGTTTGCTTTGCAAATAGGCTACACATGAGATACACAGTTTCGAGCATCTCCCAGAAGTGTCCTAATGTATATATAACTCGGGTACGGCCAACTTTGGGTCAGGTCCTGATTGGCTCACGCTGTGCCCAGTTTCGCAGGGCGCCTTGCCAGTGGGCATAAATATTGCACATATCTATCGCCTGAGTTACGCAACTCAATGCAAGCTGTTTGCCGTTCGAGACCTGCACACGGCTTGCGCCTGAAACCCGGCACCCAAAACTGCGCGCGCTATGGTTAGTATGTAAGCGGTCCTTCCATCATTGACCACGCGTCAACAGCATCACACAGGGCTCGCAGTGTTGGCGCAGCGGGAGTCACGCGGAGCGCCCCCTCACACGCCCTACCCGCCCGGTCACGGCGCTGACCGCAGCGGGAGTCACGCGGACCGCCCCATCACACGCCCTACCCGTCCGGTCACGGCGCTGACCGCAGCGGGAGTCACGCGGACCGCCCTATCACACGCCCTACCCGCCCGGTCACGGCGCTGACCGCAGCGGGAGTCACGCGGAGCGCTCCGTCACACGACCTTCCCGCCAGGTCACGGCGCTGACCGCAGCGGGAGTCACGCGGAGCGCTCCGTCACACGCCCTACCCGCCCGGTCACGGCGCTGACCGCAGCGGGAGTCACGCGGAGCGCCCCATCACACGCCCTTCACGCCAGGTCACGGCGCTGACCGCAGCGGGAGTCACGCGGAGCGCCCCATCACACGCCCTATCCGCCCGGTCACGGCGCTGACCGCAGCGGGAGTCACGCGGAGCGCTCCGTCACACGCCCTTCCCGCCAGGTCACGGCGCTGACCGCAGCGGGAGTCACGCGGAGCGCTCCGTCACACGCCCTACCCGCCCGGTCACGGCGCTGACCGCAGCGGGAGTCACGCGGAGCGCCCCATCACACGCCCTTCACGCCAGGTCACGGCGCTGACCGCAGCGGGAGTCACGCGGAGCGCCCCATCACACGCCCTACCCGCCCGGTCACGGCGCTGACCGCAGCGACCTGATGCAAAATCAGACTCGCGAATCGTTCAGGACAGCATGTGAGGTCGGGGAGCTGGTGCTGACTGGACAGCGTGGCTGCCAGAGTCTCACCTTACTATGTGCGGATGATGAAGCCGCTCCATGTTCTCGATCTCCTCAGCCAACATGGCGTGGGTCTTGTAATCCAGCTTTGCTTTATCGACGATTTTCACGGCCACGCGGTCTGTGGATACCCGGAGTGCAAAGGGCTGCAGCACAGGCATCCGAACTTATTCCCGATATTTTCATCGTGCTGGTAACGTTACGCAACGATACTGCGTTTTCCGGAAGAGATAGTCTTGTTTATGTGTCGATATTATCTGTCTCCTGGCACAAGCCGCCTGCAGGGCAACAATGTGAAATTCTAAGATCATCATAATCCTCCCTTAAATGGAGGCTTGGCACTATTTTCCTTTCAATCATATCCATTTTCTGTTTCCGATCAAACGAAACATCAGCTCTCAGCTTTTGAAAATAATAGGAATGAGGCGATGATTTGAACAAACGTGTTAGTTTTGATACGAGAAGTGACTAAACAACAGTGACTTTCCTAGCTAGAGCCAAATAATGTACATTTCATGCTCGAATGGCAATATATCTAGATTCCCGCGATTGTCGTGCCGCATGTTACTTCAGTCGTCCTGAAAAACAAGCGCTAATACACCTATTTTTGTTAATTCAACTGCGCATGAGGCTACAAGTTTATAGCAGTACTTTCTATACGTCATAACCAGATCGCCTGAGTTTTTTATGTTTGGACGGATACCGGAGAACGTGACAAACACGCCCAGCTCTCAGAACGGTATTCGCATGATGTTGACGTAGAGCTAAGAAGATTAGTCACATCGTCGGCGAATAACTATGCCTGGTACTGTTCTCAGACTGTGATTATGTCTTTAACGTGATGTCTATCCCCGATTTTTTGTTCTCTTTTAACTATTAAGTTTCTGTACCATATTTGGTATAAAAGAGTGTTTGCAGTATTGGCTGCATAACTTGCGGCATGGACGCAGTATCAGTTGCAGAGCTTGCAGCACTAACGCAGTGTCTAGGATTCAGCTTTTTAGGATCAATAGAGAAACAGGCTTTTTATCCTGCGTTGCACCCCCTCTCTTCCCCTTACCATGAACGGGACTGAAGAACTGTGTCAAGAGATCCTCAGTGACACGTTTGGTTAGCAAGCAAGTCATTAGACTAAGTGTCCGTATCATGTTCTACCATGAGCTTGCGCATCTATCTCACCATGAGGAGAAATCCTAGAGAAAATACCCCGGCTGGAAAGGGAGCTGTGCACGTTTTTTTACTAAAATTTTGCTCTACACTCCCAGCTAAAATTTGTATTTTACTTTTGACTGCTTGTGAAATCACATGTCATGCCCTTTTGTTCCGTAATCAAGGAATTCAAAATGAATATGAAAATATCCCACAGAATACGTTCTCAAACTATAAAGCGCTTTGGTTTTTACCCTGGTCTGACATTTAGATCTGACCCTAGGTCAGTGGAAGCATTCGTTATCCTAATTCTTATTGTTCAGCTGTCTCAAAAAAACAAATTTTAAACTTGCACAACTTGCTCTAGCACCCCACCGTCAAATTGTATCGAACAACTCCCGAGGAACGAGGAACGATTGCCTTCGATTATGTCTGTTGCCTGAATTTGACCTGTCATAGGTCAGCGATCTCACAAGGCATGTCACCGTTGTATACATAAAAATTTGGTTATGCAATTACCTACAGCTGTAGCAAGTTTGGCGCGCTTACGCCGCGCCGTTCGGAAGTATTCTGAAATCACTTTGGGGTGGTCAAATTACCCCCCCCCCTCAATCACAGCGCGCGTGCGCGTGTGAGGACGTGGTAACGGCACAGAGTTTTCGTGATATCAGTATTGGACAGCAATAGCCCACTTGCATGGTTGATATCAATTTTATACCTCAAGTTATTATTTGTTCGGTTTCGAACCTAATTATGAATGACTGGAGCAAACATGGTAAGAACCAATCCGATGTAAGTTGTTAAGACGGGACACCCAATGAATACAGATTCGCGTTTTTGAGAACATATAAAACTATCATTAGACACCGAATGATATGCACACACAGACAATATTGAGACACACTGGCCTAAGGTGGAAACAGCATGGTTACATGACACGGCTGAATTTCACACAATCTCTTGCGCAGCCGGTCCAAGCCTTAGTTGCCGTGGGCTGGTGTACATAAAATTTCACCCTTACATACCGTGGACTGGCACACAGCCGGCACAATCATCCCCTGGCATGAAGTGGTGCACAGCCAAGGTGATCATCATCTGGAGTGGGCTGGTGCACAGCCGGTGTGATGATCACCTGACGTAAGCTGGCGCACAGCCGGTGTGATTATCACCTAACGTAAGCTGGTGCATACACGGTGTGATCCTTGCCTTGGGTGAGGTGGTGCACAGCCGGTATGGTCCTCGCCTGAATTGAGCTGGTGCACAGCCGGTATGATCATCACCTGGATTGAGCTGGTGGACAGCCGGTGTGATAATCACCTGGATTGAACTGGTGCACAGCCGGTGTGATTATCATCTGGAGTGAGCTGGTGTACAGCCGGTATGATCATCACCTGGATTGAGCTGGTGGACAGCCGGTATGATCATCACCTGGATTGAGCTGGTGGACAGCCGGTGTGATTATTACCAAGAGTGAGCTGGTGCACAGCCAGTTTGACCCTTACCTGCCGTGAGCTGGTGCACAGCGAGTTTGACCCGAGAAAAGTTGCCCGTGCCCAGGTCTCCGTAGAGGCGGTAGAGGCCGACTCTCGTGCCGGCGGCGCGCTCCTGTGCCAGCCGCTCGTCAGAGCACAGCTGGTCCATCAGCCGAGCGTACGGACTCAGCTGACCTGCATATAAAAGGTGGCATCAGCGTTCACCGAAAGCCGGAGCTGACAGTGCAAGGGAATCAGATGGCGTCTCCTTTAAAACGCATCGCGCCGGTGTCACCTGAGAGCAGAGAACCTTGCAGCACAGCGTGGCAGCACCGTTTTTCTTTATGATAGGCCACGCCGTCGATAGTTTTACCATGCTTGGAAACACAAACGTCTGCATAAAACAGCGAGACCAAAGCTGCCGAGACTGACGGCGACAGTTGACGTTTGCGTCTCCCCTGCGCGGAGCACGTGACGCAGCTCCCGCGACGCGGCGCGCCGGCCTAAGATTGATGCTTTCGGCTGTCAACACGCGTGGACACAGCTGGGGACTGCTTGTGACCTGGGCTGTGGCTTGTGACCTGTGACGCCAAACTCCAGGCCCGTCACAATAGATAAACGGTAGGAGTGATACAGTCCCACCCACCAGCATGTCACGTCCCGCATGAGTTCAGTCGTCATGCACACTCATACAACCAGCACGGAAGGAGAAGCGCATACGTTAAGTCGCAACAAACAAACCATCGCTAAATTATTCGCTGGCGAAATCAAGAGGTTTGGGACGGCCACGCCGCGTCGCCTGCCTTCGACTGACAACTCACACTTGTCGGTGATCGAGCCGGCCCTGCTCTGGCCGGCGGCTGCGGTGAAGTGAGCCTTGTCTGTTGCCACGTGCCGGCTCCATCCGAGCCCGTCCCCTGAGGCGCGACACAGGTGTAAGGTGACCTGACCCCAGCCGCGGCGGCCGACTGCTATATGGACACGTACAGCGTATGGTTCATGGGCTGTGCAGGAGGCCTGACCCGGCCGCGGCGGCCGGCTGCTGTATGGACACGTACAGCGTATAGTGCGGCTGGCCGCTATATGGGTACGTACAGCGTTTGGTCTATGGGCTGTACAGGTGGCCTGGCCCGGCCGCGGCGGCCGGCTGCTGTATGGACACGTACAGCGTATGGTTTATGGGCTGCACGATTCACCTAACAATCTGGTCATCGAGGACTGAGCATTCTGCACTGTTGCTCGGTCTCGCGCTTACGAATTGCATGCAATTTCAACCTTCGTAAGTTGATAGGCGCATTCGCGAAGAACATTATGCATTCTGATAAGACGGTGCTAATAGCCTTATTCCTCATATAGCAATCAGGGCATGGAAAAGATAGATATGTGTATACTTCGGCTGCATGTCATTATCGAGATTCTATGGGCTACATGTCGTTTTTTTCGATAAAGGCATGTAGCGAAAATATCGATGCATCTTTCTCTCCATTTTCCTGGTTATTCCACGAGGAGTACGGCGACCTGCGCTGTCTCATAATTTTAACAAGGCGGACGCAAAGTTGCAAAATCTGAGGTCACTAGACCATATTTTTACCCAGCAACAAACTCAAGGTGTTTGCACAACAAACCTGAGCGCTAACGCCCGGGTGGGTGCGATTTCAGACCGATCACGGGTGGCAAACACTGCACTGTCGCCTACCTATTCGCCGACATGTCGTCCCTTGCAGGTGAAGCACGGGCATCGCTCGGCCGCGGCGTCCGAGCTCTCTCGCTGGCGTCTCGCTCTACCGTCTGGTCTCTGCTCGACTGGCGGTGCGGGACGCCGTGACCCGCTGTACCGTCCGGTCTCCGCTCGACTGGCGGCGCGGGACACCGTGACCCGCTCTACCGTCCGGTCTCCGCTCGACTGGCGGCGCGGGACACCGTGACCCGCTCTACCGTCCGGTCTCCGCTCGACTGGCGGTGCGGGACACCGTGACCCGCTCTACCGTCCGGTCTCCGCTCGACTGGCGGCGCGGGACACCGTGACCCGCTCTACCGTCCGGTCTCCGCTCGACTGGCGGTGCGGGACGCCGTGACCCGCTGTACCGCTCGGTCTCCGCTCGACTGGCGGCGCGGGACACCGTGACCCGAGTGTTCCGGCTTACATCCGCACCGGGTCTTCCGGTCGGCTCTCGGAGGGCCCCCGTCACCAAGGTCGGCCGGCCTTCTCTGGCGGGCGTCCTCCCGGCGTCCAGCCGCCACGCGGCTGTTGCCTGTCCCACCAGACACGTGTGCGTATGTCTGTGTGTAGGTATGTCAGTGCGTGTGCACGTCTGTGCGTGTGTGTGTGTGAGTGTGAGTGTGTGTGTGTGTGTAAGTGGGTCAGAAGCGCGACCACCGGTCGGCGATGGTAGCACTGACATTGAAAAACAGCTGTGAGGGCGGCAGTCATGGGGCCACCTGGCCTCCGGATGGCAGCGCCGAGCTGGCGGGAGGGCGGGCGCCGGGGAGGGCGACGATAACGCGAACGATTTGTTGGAGATGATACACAATTGAGCATGATATGCAAGTAACGTAACAATACAAAAATTGGTAATGCGTTGTAGTTGTGCAACCAGACTTTAGCTTTGTCGCTGCGGCAATGGAGCGTCTGTGTCATGTGTGTGGCGTGCTTAGCAGTATCAGCAGTACAGTATTATGTCTGGTAGCCATATCGAAGATCCCCTCCCGCATCCAAAATAGCATCACATTTGGATGTGTCAGGGGAGCAGCTTATTCCCACCCTATTCATCCCACCTTTTATCCCCAAGCGCTTGACTGCTGATGTGCCGCAGGGATTTTGTTCGCTGCATTTTATGTATTGCACACCCAATTCATATCTGAACTTATGTCTTGAAGTAACGATGCCGCACAAAAAATAGCATCCTCACACCCGATTTTTGTTTTCCTCTTGAGACCAAACAGTGAAGAAAGCTGGGCTTCGAGAATAAAAAACAATGTTGGCTTCATAGCCTTGCATGGGAAGCAGACCAAATGACGTTCGGCATTAAAGTCTCCACGAGACCAGTGGATCAGTGACGTCAGTATTATGTTGAGTTTGCAGGAATAAGTGTGTGTGGCTATGTTTGACGGGGAAAAACACGTCATAGATAAAAGGGTCTGACACAACTATTTGAAGGCACATATCATTGGAGGAAATAATTTGAGGTTGCGTGCATCAAACTGCACCCCTGCCAACGCCACTACGCAGAAAGGCCAAAAAAAAGATAGCCTTTGTGTGAGTCACCTTTTACCTATGATTTTTGCAGCATTCTAGTCAAAACATTGGGGGGCCAAGCCAACATTGAGGGGCCCAACTCAACACTAGCGGCCAGGGTTCTCACAAAAAATCGACGTTTGTGATGTGATGAACTTGGAAGAGCATCAAACTACAGTCCTGTCCGACTATGATAGAAATCGCTCAAATTGATCGCACCAAGTAGCATAGATTGTGCGATTGCCAAGTGGAAAGACCTGAGCGTATCCCAGATCATATCGATTAATTGATCAAGCTAAAAGGACACTGATAGATACTACGCATTTCACAAGGTTAAGATCAAACATGAAAAACTCATTGACGTCTGGAAGACACCCGTGGGTTGTGGCACGGTCTAAACCAAAGAGAGCCTGGCCAGAATAACTAGAATACGTCTGCAGCATGAGTGTCGACAAGCTTATTGCAGCCCAATTCGCCCCAGCGTACAACCCACAACCGGAATAGCTGAAGAGCACATGCTGGAATTCTACATACAGGCTGTCACAATGGGCATCGAGAGCAAAAGTTATGTTTCCGGGCAGGCCTTTAAGTGCGCTGGCAGCCATGATGCAGCTGCCCCATATCAGAACGGTGTACCCAAGCACCCAAGCACCAAAGCACCGAAATACGTCGGACTTACTTCATCTACAGTTCTGAGACATCACATGTATTGCATTTGACGTCAGCTGATACCCTACATACATACGTGGCTTTTGCGTGTCATTAGTCGGAGGGATAAAGCGGCATGTCAAAAAAACAGAAAGTATTAAGGGATAACAGCACACAAACAGATGCACGCACAAACAAAATGGGGCTACCCTCTTCCACAAAAAGGACCTGACAGCGGGCTTAAACTTGTTGAATTTAACCGTCCAACATCCACAGGCAGCTCATATATGAGAGGCGCCGCTCGGTATGTAAAGGGCCACTGCTCGCCGCCGTGCGCACCGCAGGGGCATTGAAATACCGTCATAAAAACAGCCAGAAGTTAACTTTCTGCCCTAGCTAAGCACATACGTCGCAGCGCATTCGGTAGCTTATACAAAACTTGTATAAGACATCGTTTCGGCTGTCGTGACACCGTTTTTGACATGCACATTGCATCACATCACGAACAACAAGAAAAGCAAAAACCGAGCGACTAAACTGACAGGAGCCTCATCAGAACATCGACAGACAAATTGAGACAATACCTGGGGTGGCACGCACTTAAGACACGGCGAATGCTGTTTTGTTGTCATTTTTTCCACATCCTAATCAAATAAACTCACACACACACACACACCACACACACACACACACACACACACACACACACACCCACACACACCAACACACACACACACACACACACACACACACACACACACACACACACACACACACACACACACCACACACACACACACACACACACACACACACACACACACACACACACACCACACACACACACACACACACACACCACACACACACACACACACACACACACACACCACACCACACACACACACACACCACACACACACACACACACACACACACACACACACACACACACACACACACACACACACACACACACACACACACACATATACCACACACACACACCACACACACACACACACACACACACACACACACACACACATGCTCGTAAGACGCAGCTTACTGGGACCGTCCGCGGTCTGTGGCCAAACACCATCCTACCTGGACCGGGCAAAATGTAAAAGTATGCTTACGAGGACGATGAAAACTAGCAACAGGGGTTTTTAGGGTGGCCAGTGCAATGATGTCATCTAAATTCATTTCAAACAATGTTTATATTCTGCGTGTAAACCCGTTTTATCGGAACCGGTGCCCCGCTGGGTGACGCCCGTGGGTGCTCCGCAAAGTGGTGGAAAGGTGGGCGGAACCCGGAGAGGGGACAAATTAAATGGGTACGATTTCAAAACGAAAGCGGGCTTACATGGCATCGCAGGCTAAAAGCACTCGCGTGGAGGAGAGCATGAATTTATTTTAAACATGCGAAACTTCGTATGACAGTGGAAGCAATACCTTGTGTTGCTTTCCTTATGTGAAATTTGTCAACGTTTAAAAGTGTTGTGTGTGGGGGCCTATTGCTGAATTTTACTGCGCGAGCAACGGCTACGTATGGTCAGGCCAGCCTGTTTTAGAATTACGCTATACAGCACTGCAAAACTACACAAGTATGAATGTGTTGTGGAATTAAAACTTAATATGAATGTGAATTGTTGTTGGGTTCGGCCGGGGAGGGGCATAAATCATAATCCAATCCATTCTCTGCTGGAAAGAGACATAAAAATGGTTAGGAAATACAAATGCAGGCCAATGCGCCATCAAAAGTTTATCAAACAGTATCAACAATGGCCATTGCACCTGTAATTCGCTTCACAGATTAGTAGACGGCTTACGTCACCTTTTTCGAAGTCAGACTGAAACACGACATGCTGTGGCATACACGGGAAGGAATTGATATAAAGCAAGCAATCTTAGCGCAATCCGCTCTGACTGATATAATTAGAAAAGGGTGCGTTTTCAAAAATACCTTGGAGTCAGTAAACGAAATCATAAGCTAATCTGATTGTGCTTCGTAAGTGAACCTTGTTAAGCAGGGGCATTTGCAAAGGGGGGCACGGGGCTAAGCGCCAACCCATCTTTTAGAATCAAGAGACGAAGACAGTTGCCTGAAAAGGCGCAGTTTCTTACACAAAACGCAACAAAAATGGGCATCTTTTGGTTCCCAGGCGACCACGAACAGCTTCAAGCGAGAGTGAAGTGCCCAAGAGAAAACAAAATATTTCTTTCCTATCGAAAAAGTAGTGATTTGAAGATTAAAGGCTCAT